GGAGGCATTGTCAATATGGAAGTCATCAGCCACATGTGACTATATTAATTTTAATTAATTAAAATTAAATAAAGTTAAAAATCCAGTTCCGTGGCTCCAGCCACATGTCAAGTACTGAGTGCCTGTGGCTAATGACTACCACGCTGGACCATGCAGACAGAGGACAGACCCATCACCCGGAGAGCTCTATTGCACAGCTCTGGTCTCGAGGGTATAAAGACCATGTCTGCCCTCCTTTGTCTGTCCCCAGGCCTCCTCCCAGAGGCGATCCTGCTGCCAGTCTCCTTTGTGTCCTTACAGAGATTTTTTTATGTCTAAACAAGTGCGTGGGGATGCAAACCTCTTTTACTAAAACAAATGAGAAAGGCTCGAAACACGATTTTGCTCCGTGCTTTCTGCGCTGATTGGACCCTGGAGATCACAATATAAGTGCACAAATAGTGCTTCATTCTTTTGAGTGTCCTCACAGCAGTCTCCTGTCACCAGGACAACTGCCACCACTCCCGCCTTATAACCACACTTCCACTCCTCCATGTCCCCTTGGGTGGCGCCCTGCTCCCTTCCCTCCCAAACGCTTTCATCTACTCTTTTCTGACTCTTCCCCTCAGCTCCCAGCCTAATAAAAGCTGGTTGATCCCCAAGGAAGCTGCCTTCCCGACCTCTGGAGTGAAGGCTGCATGTTCTCTCTCCTGCCCATTCGCAAAGCCTGTCTTCCTCCTGGTAAATTCCAATCCAGTTTCTCTGGCTTTCTCCCCCAACACTCCCAGTTACCCGCAGACTAAACCACCGGCTACATCTCCTGTTGTGGCCCCCAACTCCCTGGCCCCTCTCCTTCATTCACTGAGGATGTCAGCACCTGCTCCGCTCGTTTCATCTCCTCCCTAAATTCTGCAAGCAGCCCCTCAATCCCACCTGGAGCATCCAGCCAAGCCTGGCCTCACGCGTGTCCCTGACCTTTTGTCCTGACTCTGCCTCAGTCACCCACTCCCACCCTAAATCCACACAAATGAATGAACCACCCGTCAGATCATGGATTTTAGCATCCCACTCTCAAATTAGTATCCCACAGCAACAACTGTCAAGCTACACAAGACTTCTAATCCATGACGATGACCCCCTAACCTTGCCGCTGTCCTGCCAGCCCTCCTTCCCCAGCCTGAATATTCTGGCATGTTCTTAGATCCCTCCCTTACAAATAAACATGACTCCCTTGCCCCTCTATTTTAGTTGCCTGTTGAAAACCCTGACGCTGCATAAGCCTGGTTCGCCCTCTCCACACATATATTCCCCACCACAAAAAAGTGACCAAATTGGGAGCTTTTAAAAATAAGTAGTTGGTAGGATTACAAAATGGAGCAACTGCTATAGAGGGTAATATAGAGGGCCCTCAAAAAATTAAAATAGTACTATCATTTGACCCAGCAGTCCCACTTCTGGGTTGATTATCCGAAAGAACTGAAAGCAGAGTCCTGAAGAGCTATTGGTACACCCTTGTTCATGCAGCACTATTCACAATAGCTGAGGTGGAAACAACCCAAATGTCTATCAACAGATGGATGGACAGACAGAATGTGGTATATACAGACAGTGGAATATTATATAGCCTTAAAAAGGAAAGTAATTTTGACACAAGATAGATGAAGCTTGAAGACACTATGCTAAGTAAAATAAGCCAATCACAAAAGACAAATGTTGTATGATTCCTCTTATATGAGGTACACAGAGTAGTCAAATTCCTAGAAATAGAAAGTAGAATGGTAGTTGCCGACGGGTGGGGGAAAGGTAACAGGGAGTTGTATAGTGAGTCCAGTTTTAGTTCTGCAAGATGAAAGAGTCCTGGNTTAAGTAAAATAAGCCAATCACAAAAAGACAAATGTTGTATGATTCCTCTTATATGAAGTACACAGAGTAGTCAAATTCCTAGAAATAGAAAGTAGAATGGTAGTTGCCGACGGGTGGGGGAAAGGTAACAGGGAGTTGTATAGTGAGTCCAGTTTTAGTTCTGCAAGATGAAAGAGTCCTGGAGATCTGTTCACAACAATGTAAATACACTTAACACTACTGAACTGTACCCTTAAAATGTTTAAGATGGTAAATTTAATGTTATGTGTTTTTTACTGTAGAAACAGAGTATAAAATGAAACAAAATTATTGGTTAGGTTCCACTCTGTGGTGGTGCTGAAGGCACCCTCTCTTCCTCTGAGCACCAAACACCCCATCCCACAGTCAGCAAGTGGCCAGGCTGGGGAAGCCGGCTACTCTCCTGCACTGACAAGGCCAAGCTCAAAACTCACCCTGAACCTGACAGTCAAAGTAGAAACAGTTAGAAGAATTAACTAAGAGCCAGCTGGGTATTTCCACATGCTCTCAAATACTGTTCTCCAGCAAATAACTGAACACCACTAGCTTTTCCAGCTCTGCCTCTCATGATTCATTCATGCTCATTTACATGCAAACATCAGTTTCTCAGCTGGCAGTGATTTCATGAATTTTTAATTTACATGGAATGAGTCAGAGATTAAAACTTTAAACTAAAGCCAACAATAGAGGATGTGAGTGTCGTTTCAATCCCCAGATTAAGAATCGCTGAATGAATTCACTGGCATTGCCACATACAACATTATCTGGGAATTATCGAAACAACTCCTCTGTGAGTGTTTGCCTTTTGGGTATTAATATAGATATTCAGTTGTTGTTTTTTAAAAAAACAGTACCTGCTTTAGGATCATTAAAAAGAGTGACACCATAGACAATTCTTGTTATCAAACTTAATCTTGGAAAAACTGCAGGCGACCTGGCAAACTCTCACAAGATCCGAACACTACAGAAAAGCCACAATGACATGCAGCTTTGTGACTATTATGTAAGAAACTCATTTTAGCAAAACTAAAATCAAATTAAAAATAAGCAAATTAGAAGAGAGAAATTGAGAAACTCTGAACTCAATTCCTTCTGGAATTGCAAATCAAATTCTGCATCATTAATTCTAAAATAAGAAAAGGCAGAGGGAAGAGCTTTCTCCTTTGAGGGCAAGGCCACATGTGCAATTTTAAACTTCTAAAAGCCACATTAAAAATGTAAACAGGAGTAAAATTAATTTAAGAGTTTATTTAACCCAACAGATCCAAAATATTCTATCAAAATATAATCGGTATTTTTAAAATTATTAATAAAATGTTTACATTCTTTTTTCCTTCTACACCTTTGGAATGTGGTATATACTTTATACTTACAACAGCTCTTAGTTAGTACGGGCCACACATAAGTGCTAGAATAGCCACCAGTGGCTACTGTCCTGGACAGTGGGACCACGGAACAAAGAATATATATGTTCCCCAGACAGGACAGGGACGAGCTCTTGAAATCTGAGCCTGCCTCCAGACTGCGCTCTCTAGCCTCTCTCACTGAATTCCTCACATAATAGCCAGCAAGAGCGGGGGCGGATGCAGTAGCTGCTCTCTGGGCTGGACTAGTGTTAGTTCTGCTTTGGTCCTTATGGTACCAATATTTGAAATCTTACAAAATCAGTTTACTACTATTGTTTTCTTAATTTTTTTCAACCACAAATTGACTCGCTTTTTTCAAAATTGACCTTACCCTAAACATTATCACCTGTGATATCACAAATTTGGTCATTTTTATACTTTAATTATGTTCGTTGAAAAAGCTAAAGCACATCAAAACACAGATTTAACACTTAAAAGAAGTTTTGTGCTCTACCTAAAGCCAACAACAGACTAAATTAAATTTCATTCTCATTTGAGAATCAGTTATGGTGTCCTCTCTCCAAAGCTTTCCCTTTGGCACATGAAATGTGAGATAGATTACTGAGTCCCCTGGCACCCAATATGTGTACCCCACACTTTGTACATCTGAGTAGGACACAGCATCCCTACCAACAGTATCCTTTGAGTGGGAACCACCACAAACCACAGCAAGGGGCATTTACTCATTTGTATTCAGCTGTTCAGACACTGCAGAGGTGGGTAAAACTCTTGCCCTAATGACAAGTGGTGGCTCAGTCCCAAGGGCGTCCCCTCAATAATTAATAATCATGGCAGCTAAGGTTCACTGAACTACATGCCAAAAGCTGTTCTAAAGTGTGTGTGTGTATCATACGGCAATGGTTATATCTCACTCATGTGATCGTCATAATAACCCTAATAAAGAAGGTACCGCTTTCCTGCTTTTCCAGGGGAGGAAACAAGGCACAGAGCAGTTAGAAGCTTCCCGCAGTCACAGAGATAACAAGCGCAGGAGCTGAGATTCAAAGCCACGAAATCCCACTCTGGAGCCTGCGCTGTTGTCACCCTGAGGATTACAAATGGAATAAAGAGATGGAAGCTGGAGAAGACGCATGTTTTATGGTCACAAACACAAATCCTTCAAAGACAAAATCATCCTGCACAGGATGTGGAGACTGAGACAAGCAATGCCCTCTGAGAGACAGGACGGCAGCCAAGTGGAATAATTTATAATGCCCTCAAGACGTCTTCTATAAATTACCCTGGGGAGCTCATCATCTTCCTCAGAAAAGAAGAAAAAAAGCATGAAAATTCAAGGGAGCCAAGATTCCAATAACACAAAGAGAAAGAAGATGCCTGGATGGATGGATGGATGGATGGATGGATGGATGGATGGATGGATGGATGGATGGATGGATGGATGGACGGATGGACGGATGGACGGACGGATGGACGGATGGACGGATGGACGGATGGACGGAGAGAGAGACAGACAAATGAATACACAAATGTTTACTCCAGACTCAAAAGCAGAGAACAGAGAGCATTATAAAGGGACATTCCACTGCTCTGACCCCTGCAGGAGGGCCTACCACACGGCTGATATCACACCCGCCAGCCTTCTCAAAGGCAATTTGGGGACCTTATTCTTGTCACTGGGACCAAAGCCGCAGGGTAAGCTGTGCTGACAACCCAATTACGTGGCCTTCGTTTGCATGGGTGCCGCAGTCTGGAAGGAGATGAAAACCCACTTACAGGTATTCTCTGTGGGCAGAGTGCACAGCGGCCGCGTTGCTATAGCGCCACAGGACGATCGCCGATGACAGGACATCAAGGACGGCATCAAACTAGGAGAAGGAGACACACATTAGTGGTTTTTCAGAGTTAACAGGACACGACTATAAAGACACAGGGCAACGATTCTGGGACCCGGAACATCTGAGCAAGTGAGCTCAGGGCAAAGAGGGTTTGCATCGTAATGACGCGGGCCACCCGCCCTCCTCACAGGGGACCCTGGGGCTCTGGAGCCCGGGGCGCTCCACATGCCAGCTCCCCCTCCTCTACTTTAACTGCTCCGCGGCCTGGGAAACCACACTCTGTGCAGTGGTGGGTCTGCGCCCGAGGCCCCTGGCCGCCAGCACTCTGGAGATGGGGGGTTACACTGTTCTGATACATGTGAAATTGGTTTCCCCACGATAAGCAAGATCATTTCAGCATGTCACTGCGTGTCCCAAGTAAAATATTTGGGGTGAGGAATCTGTTTCTGGCTTTCAGTGGGATTGTTCTACCTGGGGTCCAGACTGAAGGTGGTCACCCAAGGGCTCTGGGAAGACTGCAAACACTGAAATGTTATACAAAATTCAATGCTTTTGTTTGAATGAATGAGTGAATGTGTGAGGGAGGAGGGAGAGGAAGAGAGAGAGACAGGATTTTAAGAGAGAGAGAGAGAGAGAGTGTGTGTGTGTGTGTGTGCATTTTTCTGGAGAGACAGTCCACTCCTTCTAAAGATCCTGAAAAGAATCTGCAACCCCCTTCAGTGCACAGGACGACGCCCAACTAACTGAGCCACATCAGGGCACATGCCCAGGTTGCAGGCTCATTCTCCAGTAGGGGGAGTGCAAGAGGCAGCCAATGGGTGTTTCACTCTCACATCAATGTTTCTCTCTCTCCTTCCCTCTTCCTCTCTAAGAATCAATTTAAAAATCTTTTTTCAAAAAAAGAATCTGCAACCCCCAAAACATTAAGTTTTCACAACAAAAGGAAGAAGTGAGTTTGGGAACAGGAACACATACCCTTAGGTACAGGAAACCTAAAGCTATGCAGGAGGGATGGTTACAAGCGCTCTCTGTGAGAGCCACTGTGCCTACCACACTTGTCACCTGGAAAGTTATAAGCACTCTTGAGGGGACGTGGGAAGCTCACCCAAGTTTTGGCATGTCTAGCTAGTAAAATATCTGAGACCAGTTTTTCTCTAACCAGCTCACATCGGGAAGCAGAATGGGAACCCAGGTTGCCCTTGGTTGGGCTACAGACTGACATCCTAGTGGCGGCAGCCCCACTCTAACTCCCACACCTCTGCCTGCACCAGCAAAGCCTTTGCTCCGCTGTGTGCCCATCCTCCAACTGACAACCTTGTGGGGGAAAGGGGCTAGAACCCTAAAACATCCTTGCAACCAGCTGTGGGAAATGTGGCCCCCTAATCTGTTCTGGAGGATTACACAGCATCTTTGTAGTTTATTTCCATTAAATTTTAACTTCCCCTAGAAGCTATTTCCATAAAAGGTATGTTTTTCAGACTAAGCTCTCCTCTGTTAACCACCCTCTCTTATTGAGAGCCCAGGGTGAGATTCATGGGTTCAGGAAAAATGTGCAAAACTTCATAAAAGTACATTTCAGGTTACTTACTGCAAACCCAAAAGCAGAGGCGCTGTACCTCATAACGGAGACAGCTAAAAAGAAAGAAAATATTATTCAGAATATTTTAAGACCTCATGGATATTTTCTCTCATTCATGAGTATATTAATATATTTGATATGCCCTTTTAAATATCAATGGAAAAGTTCCAAGGGAATAAAGTTAAAAATTAACTGTAGTTGTAAACTTTGAGAACTAAAAAAAGCAACGAGTGAAGTGAAAAGATTCCAGACTCCACCTGCAACAACTTCCCTTCCCAGCCTGTTCTGAGCACCAAAGGGCCAGTTTCAGAATGAAAATACTCAAGCAACTGTCAATCAAACGACCACTGAGACGTGGAGAATTTGGGAACTGGGATAGAGAACTGAAAACTATATTAAACTTTGAAAGTAAAAGCTCAATTGCCCAAATTGTTCTGTAATAACCAGTGGCAGCTAGTGCAGTGCACGTGCCATTGCTAACACAGCTGAGAAAAATCTCTAGCTCATCAGGACTTAAAATCCAGCGTAGACCTCAACAGAACTGTTTAGAAAAACAGTAACAAACGATCTTTAAACAACAGATGTCTACAAATGTAGGTGTAACAATTATAATTAAAACATTTATCCCCATTCAAAAATCAACCTTTTGGGGGGGTGGGGGGGGTAAGTCAACTAGGTAGCACTTTTGCCTAATACTTTGATCTGCTTTATGCCAAAGCAATGTCCAGCTTCAAAGACTAGTCTCAGCTTGACTTAATAAAGGCAGTTCTCCATATTTAACTAGCATGCGTCCACCCTGCAACAAAAAATGAAACCCTACCCAATGGGTCAGCAAGGCTCTGAAGTGAACTGCTCTGGATGTAGGTGTTGCAAGCGCTCACTCAGCGGGTAAGAGGGGTGTGGGCGTGAAGCATACTCCCACTCAGCTCACCACAGGTCCCTTCTCGGGGACCCACTCCCTGTCCTGCCCATAAGGTACAGAAATGAGCCCTGGACAGCCCTGTTGTCCTTTGTACCCCTGCCCCCAGTCACAAGGGGTCACCTGACCCCATATATAGCAAGCATATTTCATTTTCTGTGAATTGGGGATTGAGACTGAGAGAGTCTAGCTGGTTAATGTATGTTGTTGGAATTGCAACTTGCAATCACGAGGGAGCTAGGGCTGGCTGTGGTTTGCTATAGGGACTGAGGAGCAGAGCTAAGCATGAGGTAAGGTTTCCAAGCCCTTTCTGAGACTCAGCCACATTTCAGTCCTCAGGCTGTGTAATACAATCCATTCGATTCCTGATCCTGTGTTTTTGACAGGGACTGCTCCAGGTATCCCTGCTGATGCTCTTACTGGCACAGAGAAGGGCAGAGCCAGGTGTACGCAGTGACCAACGGTAGCTCTCACAGGCAATACAGGTGTGTAGTGCAAAGAGCCATTGACCCTTCCCCAAGAACCCACTTCACAGGCCATGTGGGCAAGTGCAAAACAGGCAGCAGACCCCTCGAGGAGTCACCCTGAGCACCAAGATGCCCTGTGGGACACTGAGCCCGCCTTGCGGTAAGTGATCAGTAACTGTTAATTAAACTGTTAACTGACTTTTACAGAAACAAGTCAAAATGAGTATCTGGTTTTTCCTTTACAAACTTTTAGAATATCTTAGCTCTGTGCTTTTTTTGTGGGTTACTCGTTTATCAGCAGTGGAAACCTTCTGAATGCCTACTAACACCTTGCACAGGTGCTGGGTATTATACAACAGATCAGGAGGAGCTGCCCCGGTGGAGCCCCTGCTCTGTCTCCACCTGCACTGCTCGCCTGGGCACCACCAAGTGGAGGGCACAGCTGGAAAAGCACTCCTCTCGCCATCACAGAAGACTGCGTGCTTTCCACGCAGCAAACCATTACTCTAAACAGTTTGAATTGGCCCTGGCTGGCGTGGTTCAGTTGGCTGAGCATTGTCCCATGCACCAAGAGCTTGCCGGTTCCGTTCCCAGTCAGGGCACATGCCTGGGCTTAATTCCCCAGTAGGGGGCATGCAGGAAGGAGCTGATCGATGTTTCTCTCTCATCTATACTTCTCTCTCTCTCTCCCCCTCACCCTCCCTCTCCCTGTCTAAAAAAACAAAAATATATATATTTTTAAAAAGAATAGACATTCTAAGTTTTTTAAAAGTTTTAGTTGAGCTATTCGGTAATACCAAACATTTATACAGTGGGCTACTGATTTCAGAAGTGAATGCCCACTTGATTATATTTAGGAAAAAAAGGACCCTTGTCTCAGAGACCCTGGACTCCAACAAAGAAGTTGGCCATCGAATGGTGGTGACTCTTTCCCTGACCCGGTCAGAGTCAATGTTTTCAAACATTCAGAAAATTACACTGGAAAGCTGTTTGTGTGAGTGAATTCAGCCTGCCCAATGAAATACTAATAGTGTCCTATCCCTCTTGCACCAAGGCAAATGTGAGCAGGAGGCTCCAGGTTAACCCGGAGTCCCTCACAGAAGGGAAGGAGTAACATGAATTATTTATAAATTGGTTCCATCAAATTTCCCTGGTGAGAGGAAAAGGCAAAAAATGCCAAAAATCGCATGGAGAACCCAGGGTACACTGAAGGGCACGGCTCATGGCCTTGGCTCAGGCAGCTGCCTTTTGTGAGCAACTCCCCAGTTCCCACAATGAAATAACAGCAAAAAGTCATGAACATGGGACCCAAATGGAAGAGTCAGTGGCCTTTTAGGAATTTCTGAAGAGTGTGAAATAATAAGGTCATTTTCCCTGGCCTGTAACTTAAGGTGACACATAATTTGGAGGTCAGAATGAACTCAAAAGAAAGGGTTGGTTTAGCCAGCCCCTCTCCCACAGAAAGAGAACTGTGGGGTTTTATCAGCTTGGTTCCAACTTCCCTCATGCTAAGAACAGGTTCCACTTACATAACAGCAGGCCTGGGCCAGAATAACCCACCAAGGCAGAGATTACAAGGTAGGTGCCCCCGGAGCCCACACATACATGGCTAAGGGCAGCCAAAAGCCACCACAGGTCCAACAAAAGTCCAGCAGCACCTTTCGGGCAGGTGCAAATTTAACAGTGGGCAGCAGACAATTTATGCTGCAAGCTGGCAAGGTTGGTGGAAACAGGCAACCGGGCAGCCATGAGTGGAGCTCTCCTATGAAGACTGCCCTGGGTCAAGGCAGGGGCTAGGAGCTGAGGATAATGAAGTCACTGTGGCTGTCAGCACTCGGTGTGGAGCCTGTTTAGCAAACACCACGGCTGCTCTCTGGAATGGAGCGCCGACTGTCATCAGCCTTCAGAGTCATCTGGATGGTGCTGCTGTCAAAATCCCTCGGGGAAATTTGCAAGAACGTTTCTGCTCCTCACAGTTTAGGGCTTGTCTCCGTTGCTCATAACTTAAACATGCACTTAGGGAGCCGGTGGCCACCAGCAGCCTCTGAGGGACGCAATTACAGGCCACGGGAGCCTCATTCCCCAGGGAGCTGAGGCTGCTTTCCTGCCTCTCGCTGCCCAGGGGTGAGAGTGGAGGTGGGCTGCCACCTGACCAAGCTGGCCTTGGACACCCAGAAGTGTATAAATACAAGTGTGTGCTTAGGATGTGACTGGGCTCCTCTCACTTTCTGGGCTGTCTTTTTTTTTTTAAACATTAAGACATGAAGTCCTTAAAATGTTCCTAAGTAAAATGAAGATCTGCAGTTTGGGGCCTGCCCCGTATCTGTTCCCCACTTGAGTAAGAGCACCCTGAGTGTCCTCTGGGGAACAGCACCTTCCCTACCCTCGGATCATGTGCTTTGGGTGGATGACATCATTGTCCCCACTCTAGAGTATCCCTGTCCTATGGCCACAGTGAGTGACTCAAAGATGGCACAACTCAATGTGAGCCGATGAGGACCTGTCCTGAGGTTTTGCTGCAAATATTGGTAACGGGGTATCTTTCTAAGAGGAGACTGCAGATAGAGCTGGTAGGATGAAAACAGAAGCTTCAGGTAGCAATTTTTCCTTAAAGGGGAAAGGGCTGCCTCAGAATAAAGCCAACACAGAGGAAAGCAGGTGTTAAGATAAGAGATACAGCCTAGGCCAGGCAGCTCAGTTGGCTGGAGCATCGCCCAATGCACCAATGTTGTGGGTTCGATCTCCGGTCGGGGCACATGCAGGAAGCAGCCAGTGAGCGCAGGAATGGGTGAGACAACACATGTTCAAATACCTCAGCCAGTAATTTCTCTTAATTTGCTTAAGCCAGTTTGAGTTGAGTTTGTATCACTTGCAGCCAAATGTCTTAATACAATAAACCTTGACACAGTAATCCCATGTCCAAGAATCTCTTTTAATGTCTAAGTGGAAAAACGCTTTACACACTTTGCATAGTAGGTTTATATAATTGATAACAGCAAAACACTGGACACAATCTAAATGTACAGCAGTAGAGTGATGATTAAAGTATGGTTCATTCAAAAAATAGGCTACATGTAACTATTTTTAAATGTTTACAAAAAGTAGTGTTTGTTAATGCATATTAGTTAGAATAATAATATTGAAAATAAATGGGTGATATGTTTGGTGTCATTAGTACTGGGAAATGATGGGTCTGGCTAATACAGGTGCAAACTGAATGGAGAGGTCAGGAGAAGGTGACATTTGAATGCAGACTTAAAGGAGGTGAGCCATGCAGTCACTTAGAGGAAGAACCTTCCAATAATGGAAGTCTGGGCAAAGGCCCTGAGGAGAAGCGCCTGGCATGTTTGAGGCCACTCAGTCAGAAGCAAAGGGGAGGAGAGGAAAGTTATATGAGATAATAGATTTCCCTGTTGTGTGAACAAAAAACTAGGTACAAAAGGGTAAGATGTGCGATAATATATGTGGTATAACTAGCTTCCCAGTACAACTATGTTTAAAAAAATGCATTGAAAACAACTGGGGAAAAAATCCCTCAACTGATAATAGTGGTTAATCCTTGGTGGGCAGAAACATTTGAGTGGATTTCTTTCAACTTTTTTGTATTTTCCATATTTCCTATAACCATCATATATGGCCATTCAAATCAGGAAAAAATCCATTTTAT